TATTTTTTATTATTATTTTTGGCAGTGAAACTGTATCTGTTTCTTCTGTTATGGATTAAACTATATAAACCTGACAGCGACGGTTCAGATCTTTCAAATTGGTTCTATAAACAATTAACATCTTACCTGTTGCAGATAACTCCTTGAATCATTGTTTTGTTTTCCAGATAGGAGTTGCTTTAAGCTGACAACTTGAAATAATCATTATCTCATCAGTCCTGTCAAACTGACGTGGCAGCACAATGGCTCAGTGGTTAGCATTGTTGCCTCACAGCAAGAAAGTCCTGGGTTCAATCCCCGGTTAGACAAGGGGAGTTTGCATGTTCTTCTCATGCTTGCTTGGGTTTTCTCCGGGTACTCCGGTTTCCTCCCACAGTATAAACACATGCATGTTAGGCTGCCTTCAGGCCCAGGCCTCCCTTGCAAAAGAGATCTGTGATCTCAGTGAGATTTGCCTGGTTAAATAAAGGTTGATAAATACATTTAAACTTAATTTCTCCAGTGTTTGTTCAAAGCTCTTTACAACATGTAATAATAGTTTATAACCTTTCTACAACAATTTGAATAGTTTTGTGACCATTCAGATTATATTTACCACTCTTTTTTAAATGAAACGATAATAGCCCCCTGCAAACAGTGCTATAAAAGAACCAAATGTCCTACCGCTGCACACCCACAGTGGACAGGCCATTACCTTTTGGAACATTTGGAAGCATTTTGCCACAGTTGAACCTTATTAAACTCCATTTTGGCTTGCTTTCAGACAGGTGTAAACCTGTAGGTTATTAATTATATGTTTTGTAATGGGATGCTGTGTGAAAGGACCAGCTGAGATGGAACATGTTCAGCCAACTGCGGCGTAAAACTGGAAACGGCAGGTGAGCAGCAGATATGTGACGTCTCTTTGCTTTTAGAACTTCAGTCACGTGCCGAGAGAGGAATGACAAGTGAACTGGAGAAGGGTGTGGAAGGGGAGTGTGTCTGCTGCACCAATAGCTCTACAGGTCTCACTTCTCCACTCAACTCCATCAGGACCTGGGCGACCACGTGGCAACACGGTGAAGCTTGCATATTTTGAGTTACTGAAGGTCTCCTTTAGTGTGAATCAGTTGCTTGAAAGAGAAATCAACTGTGTTTTCCATGAACAGGTAGTTCCTGTCAGTTTAACAAGACTTATTTAAACTGTCCGTGATAACTTCTCCAAGAAGAGTTTAAAAGAGTGATTTTGTTTTCTGCTAGTAAAAGTGATCCACAGACAGACAATCTTTTTTTTTTTTTTTACACCTAATTAGTTTGGTGTTAAGCTTGTCAGAGACAAAGTTGATAAAGCAACTGGTTTGAGTTTGTTAAATTAACTCCAGATAAATAAACAAAAAGAATAATAGTCTTAGGATTTCTTGGAATACATACTGGTTGTTATTTTTCACACCAGTATTAGACTAAGATCATTTGATGCTGAGAAATTACTGCGTTATAATCAATTATTTAAATTGTGTAAAAATAATGTTACACACAACTTCACGTGTCACCCTCAGAGTATGTGTTGTCAATAACTCATACATACACGGTTGACTCAAATAGTTAATAGTGACGTTTTAAAAATAGTTCTTGCTCAATCAGTTTGGGCTCACACTGTGTCGGGAGAGACGCTGCTTCTCCAACACAAAACTGTTAACACCTTATAAGTTATAGCCATTTATGTATTTACTAACATAGCTGTGGTGGCCATCTTGAATTAGAATGACCCCAGATGCTAATAGACGGTTGATGTCCATTCAGTTATTGTTTTCAGAGAGATTCATTAAAATAAGTCCATTGGTTCAGGAAATATTTTGCAAAGTTTACAGTCAAATGGACAAACAGACAAAATCATTGCCACCTTTTGCCCTGGGTGATAAATATTCGTCATGGAGTCATGTAAACACTCCTCTAACTTTTCAGGTTTTCACCAAGTTAAAAAAATACGGTCAAAACAAAGTACCCGGGTTAAATCGACCTGCTACTAAACAGTCACCTTGACTTGTGTCACAGTAACTTCTTATCTCATGTGTACAGGTCGCTGCCTAAGTAACATATATGCCACAAGCAAATATTTTCTCCAGATGCCTTCTCCACCTTTTAGTTTGTAATAAAGTTTTACCAAAACTTCTACCCTTGTTAAGTTGCTGACAGGAAAATAAAGAAAGAAATGATGGTTGAGACTTAGTTTAACCAGAAACAATAACAGATACTCATGTCTCAGCTGAACACTTTCAGCAGCACCTGCTTGTAAAATGTATGGATTGAAGATGGACTTTTACTGCACCTACACTCTGAAATCTAAAGAGATTGAAGAAATGTCTAGGAACACAGAAACAGGAAGAGGACTACAAAGTTACAACGATGCCACCTGCTGGGGTCACATAAAACACGTGCCACAAACAATAATTGCACATTCAGATAAAATCCAGTAAAGCCCATAAAAAAACATTCAGACACCACAGGACAGCAATAAATGTCTTTTTTTTTTATATGTAAAAGTTTTTTTGTCCAAAATTATTACAGTATCAAAAAAATAAACTTCAATAATTCAAAATAAATTAGCAAACTGAAAACTACAAAACACAAACACATTATTGTGGCTGCATCGACTTAACAAAACTAAAGTTTTATTTGTATAAACTTGACATTGCTGAGAGACCGACCGATAAAAACTAGATGCCGGTACTTGTTTAAAAGCCTGAGACGACTTCTGTTGTGACTTGGCGCTATAAATAAACTGAATTGAATAGATCTGAAAAGAACAGAACATATTCTGTTCAGCTTTCAGGAGTTCACTAAATAAGAGCGTCCTTTGAATTTAACATTTGGAACGCAGTAACATAATTGTAAATATCTCGTAGACCTAAATATGTACAATGTTCCTAGAGTAACATAGATGAAACAATGCAGCGTTGGTAAAAAGCAAACAATAAATATAAACTTTACAGCCTGATAAGTGCTGTTCTCTCTCCTTCAGAAATAACATATGGCTTGATTGGAGCTTATCTCTGCTGACGGTCTGTGTGGACACCAGCAGAGTCCTCGTTATGTCCCTTCCACACAAAAAGTGTTAAAGCTTTGAAGGGGATCATTTTCACTCTTCTTTGATTCCAGTATTTGTGTCTTCCCAGTCTGCTGTTTGAAGACACTCATCACCGATTATCGCATCTTCTTTCAATCTCCTTTTGAATTCGAACTTGTAAAGCTGCCCTCATGGCTGCATCCAGGGTGTTTTTCTCTGCAACACGCTCAACCACCTGCTCAGGTTTATCGTCCTTCAGAAAGAAAGACAAAAGCCGCTGGGAGTTAAAAACCAAAACTTTAGACGACGTTATTACCATAATTCATCAGGACCAGCTTGTTTAATGACATCATCATGTGCCTCTGTTCAAACCTCTGTTCTTGCGTACTTGGTGAAAATATGCATTTAGCATACTTGGTATTCAGAAGTGATCTAGATTTGTTTTTGCTGCAGTTGCCATGGTAAACAGAGGTATCAGAGTGCCACGATGGAGCTCGTAACAGGTTAAGGTACTTGGGAGTTGATTTAAGGCATCGTAATCAGCCTTTCTAAAACCAAAAATTCAGAGTTTACACACTTGCAATTAGTTAATTAAGTGTTTATATTGCAAATAAATTCAGAGGTCTTGAACCTCTTATCTGGAATACTCCCGTATTGTTCTGGTGGGAATGAAAAATAAATGACACGCTCAATCGTGCGCCAAAAAAGAAAAAAATATATATTTCCGTGTTATCAACTAAAAAAAGACACAGACTAATTGTCAAACAAAGAATTTACCTTTTTCACAAGAAAGGATGTAATGGTTCCAGAGTCCTCTTGATAGTCAAGCCAGAAGAGCTCAGTCCCAGGGATTTCAGCCTCCGTGCTTGACCCGCTCTCATTTTCCTCTTCAGCATCAGCACCACCAGTCCCTAGCTCCGAACCATCTGGAAAGTGAGCACAGGTGTATTTATTATGCCTTTAGAGCAGCCTTTCCCCAATCCTGGTTCACATGCTTTACCATCCTGCAAATTTTTAGACAAATCCTTATCAACTAATAAGATTTAAATGATTGAACATTAACTTGTTATCAAGTTAACTCAGGTGTGCTGAAGTAGGACAACATGTAAAACAGGCAGGACTGTGGGTCGTAGCTCATTAGAAGAGATGTTAGAAGTAACATACGTTTTTGTCGAGGATGGTACACCTGGAGATCAGGTCTGCGAGGTCTTCTTGGGGTTGTGGTGTGTCTCCGCCTCCGAAGCTCTTTGGCTTGTTTAACTTCTTTGTCATAATCATCTCTTGTCAAGAAAAGAAATCGGTATGTTGTTATAACCACGTGTTTGTGTCAGATGCACGACACGCGTTTCAAAATAGTCAAAGTACATTTTCTCAACAAAGCTACAGTTCATCAACAGTTAAATACATTTGCAATACATTTAGCATCTTATTTCCCAAAACAGTCAACTACATTTTGTTTTACTTCCAGTGATAAACAAGCGTTTAGTGTCAACCATGACCTTCACAGAACACAGAACCATTAAATAAACTTTGGCAATAATGAAGCTTATTTTGTCTTTGATTTTTATGGCTACTGTTAACCAACTCGATCTCTCTTTATTTAATTATTAGCATTAGCTTGGAGAAGAGAGGTTGAGGAAATTACCTAGCAATCTGGTTCCTGCGGATATGGTGCAGGAAGCCGTGGTTCATATCCAATCGGCCTCCGGGTTTGTATTTCAGCTCATGCTCGCCATCGTCTTTCAAAATATCCATTTCATCAAACAATTCATATACAGTTATGGCATTAACTGAATAATGATCATAAGAAGTCTTTATCGGAGCTCTCACCAAAGCTAAATGGCTAGCAAGCTAACAAAATATGTTGTTCAATTGTACTATGCCCAGAGTTAACACAAGTGGAAACTTTAAATTAAAACACAAAATAAAAATATTTACAAAAATATTTAGATAAAAAACATAAGCTTATATGCTAAATATTATGTTTTTTGCTCTCGTAAATATAGTGAAAAAATATGGATATCTGAATGTGTGTTTTTTTAAACACCGGAATAGGTTTTATTTTTTTGTTCAACAATAAATCCGACGTACGCTCACCGCGAGTTTCGAGATGCTCTGTTTGGATTGAATGACACTAAAGCTTTATCCCCTGTGTTGTTTTAACGATAGGATTGCATGATAGTTGGTGAGATGATTTCTTTAAAGCGAGAGAGGAAAGCTGAGGTGGACGACGATGATAACGAAGACGGAGGTAGGTTTATTTACCGCTAACGTAGGTACTGCTAGTTAGCTAAGAAGCTAGCTATGAAGTTCGATTTTAAAATTTATGTACGGTTCCATCTAGTCACACCTACGCGGGTCAACATATATAATCTGAAATAATATCATTATCAATTATAATATCAATATCTTAATCCAAATCGCAATTTTATACTGTAATCGTTTTGTTAGCATGTTTAGCTAATTGTACGTACTGTCTGGGATTATGTTCATTTACTTTTTGCTAAAAACAAATTGTTTTTATAGTTGTAGCTAAAAGAGGACGAGGACGTATAGTAGAAGACCGGAGAAGCCGCCACTGTCCTTACCTTGACACGATAAACAGGTTACATTGAGTTGAATCTGTACAACTAGTGCTAAATGCTAATTAGCACTATTTACAGCTAACTCATGTGTTTATCCTTCTAGAAGTGTTCTTGATTTTGACTTCGAAAAGCTCTGCTCCATCTCTCTATCCCACATCAATGCTTATGCTTGCCTTATATGTGGGAAATACTTTCAAGGTATGTTGAATTACCCGGCATTTCACTCAGGAACAAACACCTTGTTGTGCTTTAAATTACTGATCTGTAATGGTTTTCCTGCAGGCAGAGGTCAAAAGTCTCATGCATACACTCACAGTGTCCAGTTTACCCATCATGTGTTCCTCAACCTGCACACACTCAAGTTTTACTGTCTGCCAGATAACTATGAGATCATCGATTCATCATTAGAAGATATCACGGTGAGTAAAGGAATGATTTTGTGTTCTGAGACTATGCTGCGTCAGTCTACATTTAAATCTCTCAATAAGTTATTATGCTGTACAAATGTGTGATGTATGGTTTTGTTATTTATTATTTTAGCAGGGATGCAATACAAATCAAAAACATTTTTCTTTCCTACATAGCTTTATCCTCTTTTCTGTTAACTTCCAGCAGTGCATTGGCATATTTAACATAACGGTCCTTTTTTTTATTAGTAAATCTTTACAAGACCAATTAGTTTTTACTTATTTATTTTTGGAGCAGCAATATTTATACACCGGTTTGTAAAATTGTATACTGTCATCATTGAAGTACTCAAAAGTTTTGTTTTAAATTGTCTTTTCAAACAGTGATTCTGTGCTTTTAATTTTTCAAAATCATCTCCTCTTCTAGTATGTTCTGAAGCCAACTTTCACAAAGCAACACATTGCAGGGTTGGACAAGCAGGGTAAACTGTACAGAGCCTATGATGGTACAACCTACCTGCCTGGCATTGTGGGTCTTAACAACATCAAAGCCAACGACTACGCTAATGTGGTGTTACAGGTATGTACTGTATATCTCGTACTCCAAAAAAAAAGAAGTAAGATCTTAGCATATGGTAAAAAAATACTTTTTGTTTCTTGTTAACCTACTCTTTCTAGGCTTTTTCCAATGTTCCACCTTTGCGAAACTACTTCTTGGAGGAGGAAAACTACAAGGGAATCCGCAGACCACCAGGGGACATCATGTTTCTCCTAGTCCAGAGGTTTGGTGAGCTGATGCGCAAACTTTGGAATCCAAGAAACTTCAAGGCCCATGTGTCTCCTCACGAGATGCTGCAAGCTGTGGTGCTGTGCAGCAAGAAGACTTTTCAAATTACCAAACAAGGTACTTTCATTTTCTACAAATGACCTAAACTGTACTCAAACCTTTTTTTTTTTTTTACCATTGTTGAGGCTGTAGAGCTAAGTACGGTACTCGTCTTCTTTCTGCAGGTGACGCGGTAGACTTTATGACGTGGTTCTTGAATGCTCTTCACGGTGCTCTTGGAGGCACGAAGAAAAAGCCATGTGAGTGGAAGAAGTTTCTAAAGGGTTGTTACATCATGTATGAAATGATGCCTTTATTATGATCAAAAGTTGTTCAATTACAATATTTTTTGCTTTTTTTCTCTTAGAATTTATTTTTGCATTTAATGTTTTGAGAATGAACAAGTCTGTTCTTGTGTTTCTCTTTAACCTCAGCAATAATCACAAAAGCGTTTCAAGGCTCTATGCGGATCTTCTCCAAGAAACTTCCACACCCTGACTTGGTGGGCTTTTTGAGCTGTTTTTGTTATAAAATCAATATTTAACACCTCTTATTAATTAAACCATCATTTTTAAAAAAATATTCAGGATTTTATAAAATTTTAGGTATCTTTGCAAATATTCTGAAGGATTCAAGGTTCTTTATTTGTCTCGGGAATTGCGTGTAGATTTATTTATAATTGATCTATCAATATGAATTTGATGCATGCTGATTGATGATGCACTGATTTCTTTCTGAGAGTTTTAATAAAATCTGCCCATTGGTTCATCAGATATTTTGCTAAAAGACAAACGCATACAAACCCAGACACAGGCATCTACATCATCATCTGTCATTCATGGTAGCAGAGAATAAGCGACTCCAAGTAAAGTCTTAGCCATCATTTATATGTGGGTATTTTTTACTTGTATCTTTTCAAAGATCTGCTTTTATTTTCTAAACCTGTCAGACACCAGAGGAAAAAGAAGTTCTGCTCCAGACTGAGGAGTACCAGGAGCAGATGTCTGAGTCCACCTTCCTGTTTCTGACTCTTGACCTCCCAACAGCTCCTCTGTACAAAGATGAGAAGGAGCAACTTATAATCCCACAGGTTCCACTCTTCAACATCCTGGGCAAATTCAATGGCAATACAGAAAAGGTAAGAAGTCTTTAACAGACCTTGTTAGCCCAATTTAAAATGTAAGGGGAAAAAAATCATTAACTCCATTGTCACATTACAGTTATCCTAACCACTCCGTAAGGAACATACTGCTATATTAAGTACAGTCTGGAAGCTGTTAATAATTTATTAGTGATAGCATATTTTTGTACTCTGCTTTCAGGAATACAAAACCTACAAAGAGAATTTTCTCAAAAGGTTCCAGTTGACCAAGCTGCCACCTTACCTCATCTTTTGCATCAAAAGATTCACCAAGAACAACTTCTTTGTGGAAAAAAATCCAACAATTGTCAATTTTCCAATCACGTGAGTGCTTTTCATACACACTGACTTGGGAAAAAGGCATTTCCTCGAGTGTCTGTCATAAAGTAGCTATCAGTTATTTAATACTCAGGATGTCTTCATGCGTCACTATAAATACATACTTTAGTTTGTCACTTTCTTTGCTGCCGCAGAAATGTAGATCTTTCAGAGTACCTGACAGAAGAAGCTCAAGCTACAGAGAAGAACACTTCTTACGACCTTGTTGCAAACGTTGTGCATGATGGGAAACCCACTGAAGGATCGTACAGAATACACGTTCTGCATCATGTAAGCTGTGATCTGATGTCTCTAATGTTACTGAAGAACATCAAGAAGAAAATACTCTTTGAAAGCTTTGGCCTCATTTTTTTTCACATTTTAGATCAACATTATTATATTTATCCTGCATTTTATCACCGTGAAATTTCAGAACAGGATATTTAAAATCCACTTGTCCTGATGTTTTAATTTAGGCCCAAAATTAAAAAGGCCATTTTTTCAAGATTTTCCATTTGTAACAAATGCATTTAGTTCTGTTTTACTAATATATTGTTGTATAAACAGTTTGTGATGTGCGTTCATTTAACCAGGGTACGGGGAAGTGGTACGAGATGCAGGATCTGCAGGTGATCGACATCCTTCCCCAGATGATCACACTGTCAGAAGCTTACATCCAGGTACGTCTGCCTCACAGCTTTTGTTCTCGTTAGAAATGTTAACTTTTACTAAGCTCTGCACTTTTCTGTGGATTTTCTGACAGTATAAATGTCATTTTTTTATGTTTACACATGAAAAAGGATTAATTGCAACATTTGATCACAGCATGAATAATCTATGTGCATAGTTAGGAGTTAAAATATTAATGTTATAAAGTAAAATGGTCTTTGGCACCAATGAGACATGGCAGATTTAATATAAATACATTTTTTCTTTTCAATTTCTGACAGATCTGGAAGAGACAAGGCAGTAGTGACTCAAACAGCCACACGGGGGAGTAAGTGATGCAAGACAGCTACCACTTTGATGGAATGCAGTTTTGTAATTTCATAAATAAACTAAGTTTTTAGATCCTTAAGGGACAAAAGTGGCATGAGTGTCAAGATTTTCTTTATAGCCTCAAAAGGAAAGAAATGTAACAGTCTCCAAATTCGTTTTCTCAATTTCCTTTTTATCATGTGGTTTCTTTTTAAATAAACCACTTTCAGGACGTGTCTTTTTGTGTGGAAGAGTTTTTTAGCAACACAAAATATTAAATTAAAATTTTATTTTGAAGTCATCATTTGCAATGAAAGCAGAACGATGCAAGAAAAAAAAAACAAAAACAGCAATTTATCCAAAGGGCTTATAGTTAACACTGAACGTTCTTCTCGGCGCTGACTGCGACATCTAACCTTTTTGTTTTTACATTCATAACATGATTATACTGTATACACAACACTGCACAAAAGAGAACCTGTAGAAATGGATGTTTCAGAATAAATCCCATGCAAACATGAATATTTTGAACACATGCTTGATTAGCTGCAATAGAATGTTAAATGGGTAATTTTCCCCTAACACAAAAAGTTTGATTAGTGCATTACATTAACTGAGCATTTAACAATGGATCGGTGCATAAATAAGGTCGTATTTTGAAGCTGCGGTGAGCTTGGCAGGATTCTAATTCTTCCATTTGTATTTCTCACAGAAGACTTGATTCTGAAAACAAAAACATGAAACTGAAATTTATTCACAGATTCAAACACTAAGTGTTAGTGTGCATGGCGGGAAACACATGTTCTATAACTAGCAAAAATCTTGTAACAGTTAAATTTTACTTACGCCACACTTTTGAGCTGTTTCCAAGTCTTTGCACCAGTAGCTCGGCCCCCAAGTACAGGGATTCTTTCCCAACGGCTCCAGCTTCTTCGATGAAACGCACAAATCAGCCCTCTGCAGGACCGAGAAAACCGAATATCTTCAGAATATAAACTAGAGAATAAAAAAACTAATCTTAATGTGTTCCTGATGTTACATGGCTGAATTTCTCCATTATTTTTTTTTTAATTGATGGAATTGTTTCATGTGCAGAAGTAGACAATAGCCTGACTACAGAGAAAACCCTTTATTTTTCTGTGAGTACTCGTTAACAAAGTAGCCTCTTAAATCTTCTGAGGAAGAATATACAAATAAATGTGTGAACTTCAGCATATTCTTACTTCACAAACATGTGGAACATCCATTTGGTTTCCCAGAACCCTCTGCAGCTGTACGCCATAGATTCTGGTGAAAGCTTCACACTGAAACAAGAGTTTAAAGTTGTCCAAGTGAAATGGTGAAGATACAAATGACGTTTAAAAATGACGCAGTAAAAACATACTGTCGTACAGTGTTTTCATCCACTGAACAGAAGTATTTTAAAGTTTTAGAAATGAGCAGATTTTAGAAGAAGCTGAGAGTTCAACCTTGGGGACGGCATGTGGATGATTGAGGCATACAGATTGTAGGAAAGCTGATGTCTGTGGCTCAGTGGCGTTGAGTCCCAGGTACAGGCGGCTCAGTGCTGCCAGCGTTTGACACGACTCACAGTCTGATGGTGGAGACACATCTGGAAACCAATGGGTTGTTAACACTGTGACAAAGACACAACTCGGTGTAAATGATGCACTGAGCTTATATATTTAGTCTGCTGTGAATACATTAACTATGATCCCATTTCATCCTTGGTGGCTTAAAGACTCAAAAGCTAAAATCCTGTTAATTTTATAAAGCGCGGGATTTGGATTATGCCTAGATCAGGGAAGTGAAGCCGATCTAAAGACGTTGTAAATGAGTTTAGGCTCATAGTGCTGTTCATACTGAAACAATTTTCATCTATAAATAAACATGATTGCTGTATAAATATTACCAGTTTTAATAAACTGGCGAGTATTGAGGTATTATGATAAAATACATCAGTCATGCAGACTTGTCTTAGCCTTGGCTGCTAACGGCACTAAAACTCATTGTTGGGCTAACCTGGAACAGGCTGCGTCTCAAACAGACACAGGTGCAGGAGAGTACAGATTGTATGAGGTGCAGCAGATGATAGGAGGAATTCAACGATCTCTGCGCCGTATTTGCTGACGAAATCGTCGCACTCGTCCTTGTAGCTTTTCGGTATCAGATCACAGACTTCTCCCATGAGCTTCATTAAAGCCTCCTGCAGGGCAAAACAAGATGGAGATGTTGACATGAGGTGACAGGCGTTACTGTCAGGACATGTTTAATATCAGGCATCTAAAATTAAAAAGTCACCTCAGTCATGTTTTGAGGCAGCAGTGATTCGAGCTTCTTGATAACAAGCAAGCACAAGGGGCAGATCGGATTTAAAGACTCCTTGAAAGAGGAACAGTAAATAACTCTCATCAAAGTTTCATTTCCACTGTTATTTTCTGTTTCATTTCTGCTTTCTCATAAACCTACTTTGTTCTCGGATGCAGAGCTAAGTGCAGCGCTGGGTATGTCAACGTGGGTGACATGATGGGGAAGTTTCTGAGGCTCGTTCTCCTTATGGGCGGCACAAAGTCCAAACGCTTCACAGGTCTCTTCTGGTTTCTGGTGAGACAGGGAAAAATTACAAAGCAACCATCCAGAAACACTGGTTTTCTTAAACGTAAAAACAACAAAAAACACGTCACACTTGTTGGCCAGGCGATTGGCGCAGGATTTTTGGCAGGTGCATTTTCACTTGTGACTCGCACTCTGACGTTTGATCTTTGGGAAGTCTCTGGCACAAAGCGTGCAAGGTTTTAAATACAGCCACCTGTGAACACGGAAGTAACTCGTTTGTGACAGACATGCAAATATTTGTCAACATAAACATTCTTTTAGAGTAAACATGAAAAATAGCACTCCTACAAAAGAATGAGTGCTCTTGTAATTTACTGTGGGCTTACAGTAATAAACCAGTTTGTTGGTAAAGGTAAAACTGCAGCTTCTTACTTTAGTGTCACTGCTGAAGATCATGTTGGCTGACAGCTGGATGATCTGACTGCATTCTGGACACACATCCAATGTCTGGTAAGAGAGTCCATTGTGGGACAGTATGAATATATATGATAAACAGTTTTCAAAATAAGATTTCAAATGATCAACACCACTTTAGGGCTTACCAGAGGTTCAGCAATAAATCTGGAGTCTCCTTCAGTGAAAACACCCACACAGACACATGATGAAGACAAAATACAGTTTAAATTGATTTATTTTCACTGTCAAACAATTGTAAAGGTATAGATATTATGATGTAGCACAAATAGAATGAAGCGATCAGACTGATAGGAGAAATAGTGGCGGCTGGCCACATAATTAAAATATTTGCTTCATCTTACCAGACAACAACGATGCAGCTAAAACCACCAACATGAACCCTGAAGATGACATGGCTGAAGGGAGTCCTGGGAGTGAAGTGCAGCTGTTTTTTTCGATTCAAAACATACGTGTTGTTGTTGGGAGCTCTACCGGAAATAAAGCCTGACAGCGCTCTGTGTAATGCGCATGCGCTTTAACATTATCGAGCTGGAAGCGTTAAAAAAAAAAAAACACACACACACACACAAAGAACTCGTCACATGGCGCCCTCTGGCGGACACAGATAGCCCTGCAGTACCGTCATGGTTTGACAGTTTGTTTTATTTATCTAATTTGTAGATTTTTAATATATAACGTGATCAAATGTAACTTGAGTAGAGTAAAATTCTAAAAGGAGTAAAATAATAATCAAATTTGATTTGACAATATTTTTGGATCACATTAAGCATTAAATTACATTGGTTTAAAAACAACAACAACAAAAAGCCAGTGGACTTCTGTTTTGCAGTAAAAACAATTTTGCTTTCTGTTTGGGGTGCTTTATCAAGTCAAAACTAGAGAAAGTGGAGTTCTAAGCTTTAATCTGCAGCTTAATTGCACTCCCATCCCGTCTGAGGGTCTTTGCTCAAGAGAGAAAACCCGACGACCCCCAGGTGAGAGTGGAATGAGATTAATCACGATATAGTTGTATAAACAAATATTTTGTTCTCAAACAAAACATGAACAAAAACCTGCATCCTTTTTATTTAATTTATATTGTTTGTGTGTAAATTTTAACAAATGTATAGGGAGTGGTATAGATTGGGGAGTGGTGGAGCAGAGGTCAGAGAAGGTGAGCCTGTGGTTGGCAGTTTGAGCCCCGGGACCAACAACATCAAAATGTGGATGGAAAAGGTGAAGTGCCCACACCTGCCTCCACCCTCGTTTGCTCCACTCTGGGGCAAACCCATTCAAACCCTTGCTCAGGGGGTCTCCTTGAGCAAGACCTTTAACCCCCACCATCTGCTCCCCCTGGGTGTCCTAGAGAGCAGCTCACTGCTCCACACAGAGGGCTGTGGTTGCTCGGTGGTCTGTGGTTGTGTCAGGAAAGACATTCGGCATAAAAACAATTGCCAAGCCGAGTTATTAGTTTGCTGTGGCGACCTCTGATCAGAGCCCTGTAAAGAGAGAGTTGCGACACTCCCATAGACTCCCATAGAAAGAATGGAATGCGGAAGTCACGTGGGTCATGAAGCGGCAAAGAGTTCCAAACAGCAGCGGGTTCAGCATTGAACGTAGTACATTCTCCGTGTTTTCCCGGTAAGTTAATGAAAATGCGACACTTTTTCTCCATTGTGAAGCTTTATCTGACTGTTCTGTACCACAACTTATCAACATTAATACTTCATGTCTCCAGTTTTAGTTAATGAAACATGTTAAATTACTAGTTGTGTTTTAACTGCAGCTGCTCTGCAACATGACGGTTTAAATGGGTCTATTTCTAATTCAGCGTTTTAAAATATCTATTACTGCTTACATTTTGAAAGGTGGTCTTTTTTAAATTTATGGTAATTCCAGTTACTGAACTCAACTAGAAAATATTTGGCTTTTTTTCCTGAGAGATTCATTCAACCTTTATTTCTACAGTAAATCCCACTGAGCCTCGAGGACTCATTTACAAGAGAGACCTGATTTAACAAAGAATGACGACAACATGACAACAAGACTGACGTCATTTAGTTAAAGTTATAGATCATTTGTCAAAGACTGCAGCATAAATTGTGACATTATCATTAAAGAAAAACGTGATTGTGGAGATGAGTCAATGTTTTCATGTTTTCCAGGTAAACCAGAGGAGAATGACTTCATGAACTGAATGTTGCATTAAAGTATCACAAAGGTACAAGATCTCATTTTCTGTCTTCTATTAATCATTAACAGCTGAATCAAGATGTTTGAATAAAATTACTTTAACACCATAACCTTCACAAAGTTGGTATTTACTGCAGGATTGTTCATTTACATTAGTTTCATATTATTAGTTTAGTGTTTGGTAATCATGGGTCAAGTTGAGATGAGACTCTTTCAAGACAGAACAAGACATAAGAATTATTACAAGAATAAATCAGCATCAATAAACTGTAGGACAGTAACAAAAACACTTATTAAACTATCACAGGTTCATTGAGATGGAGCTGGAAGTTATTCTTCATGCCAGTTGTCTTCATCTGATCTTTTGTAAAAATATGTCAATTTATTTTCCATTAACATTTTTCTTCACAGGACTGAGTTAATTTTCTTGTCTGTGAGTTTCTTCTGTCCTGCTTATGTATGTTTTTGTTCTAATTCTTCCCCCAGGTTTTTCATCTCTGTTCCCTGACTGCCTGTTGATCCATCCTCCTGGTCCTGTTGATCCATCCTCCTGGTCCT